ACATCGTTTACACCTAAGCTATGGTTTTAGTTACTAATAAGTGTTCATCTGTACAAACTGGTGTCCAACAAGCTGTAATGTTAATTACATATTTATTCACTATCTACCCGGATATTTAATATCAACTAGCATAGTAGTAGTAGTAAGCTGAAAGAATTCTAAGCGAAGGGAGTTATCAAAATGTCTTATCGACAAAGGAATTCATTGATTGCTCTTTTGATTTATGCTCATAAGTTCATCATTTCTTATATGAATCCTTGCATGACTCCACAATTTATGATTAAAAATGTTAGTTGGTGACATGGTGTAAATCAATCACAGAAGCTCAGTTTCATTTAATATCAATCTTTCTCTAAAAATAAACTTGACTATTATTCTTAGTATTGGATTATTTGATCTCATTTGTTCCTTTTGAGGCTATTTACTTTCCTTTTACCCTATAATCTCTTTATATGGTGGTGTGTAATCTGGCAACTTGACCAGAGACATATTCATATCTTACGTGTGACAATGTTTAAGTAATTGATTCTCCAGTATCCTGAAGGAACAAATGACATATGAATCAATCATTGGTCACCGGTTACTATAGGACTATATCTCTTCACATTGCTCCACTGTCTTGTGGATCAAACCGTTAGCTCAAAGGTTCCAGATGTGGCATCCTAAGAAAACTACTTGCTTCGGTTTGGGCACTCGGGTAGTATTGCTGTCCTCACACTAATCAAACGAGATTTGTGTGTCGTATATATATCTGGTGCCCCTTTGTACCAATATTTGTGTTTTAATAGTTAAATAAATAATGTACTACTACTATAGAAGATCTAACAATTATCCCATTACTCTGTATGCTGCTATGATTAATCTAGCAAATCAGTGTTACCCTTAAAAATAGCTTAAAAATGAACGAAAAATTATTATTATTATTATTATTATTATTATTATTATTATTATTGGTAAGCAGAGATGGATAGTGGCTAGCAGTGAAATCCAGGAAGCGCGTTTCGTCCTATTTGGGACTCGTCAGCTGGATGTACCTGCATCTCAGAGTTGATGTTCACTCTGGGACTCTATCCCAGTACCCTCGCTTCAAAGTGGCTATCAGGACTCAGTGGCCGATTGGATAACGCGATGGCGTTTGAAGCGAGGGTACTGGGTCCGAGTCCCAGTGTGAACATCAACTCTGAGATGCAGGTACATCCAGCTGTCGAGTCCCAAATAGGACGAAACGCGCGTCCTGGATTCCACTACTAGCCACTATCCATCTCTGCTTACCATGCTTGTGAATCAAGGATATATCGAAGCAATACGCACAGTATGCACATATGGCCAATTAGAGACTGACCAGTTGCAGTCCTAACACATCGATGGGAAGATTCAAACAAATAACCCTAAATGAATTTATTATTAATATTAATTTATTGGTTTACGCATGAATACTCTTCATCCTTTTACAACGTTACTTTTTTTTCCATTTCACTATGGACTGAGTACAACCAATTGATGCATAAAAATGACCCGAAAAAAATTGTAATTTTATTGAAAATAATAAAATTCTATAAATTAGTTAATCAATCATTGAAAATCAACAAATTCATCAGTGAAATTTATTTATTTAAACACATAAATATTGGTACAACGGGGCGCTGCGCAAATCTCATTTCATTTGTGTGAGGGCTGTGATATTTCCAGGGTGCCCAAACTGAGGCAGCTGGTTTCCTTAGTGGGCCACACCCGGAGCCTTTGACCTATAGTTCTAATCCACAAGACAGTGAAGCATCGTGAGGAGATGCAGTCCTATGGTAGTCGGTGACCAGCGATTGATTCATACGCTATTTGTTCACTCACTATACTGGAGCCCATGTGGACCAGGGTTTTCCAACTCTCCTAGGTGTACCCTCCGTGTCCACCAACTCGGTTAAAGCTCCGGATATTCGCTTTTCATCCTCTCACTTTCGTAAACAACACCCATGTTATGAGAATGCAGTGAGTATGACTTCCTTGGCAGAGGCTGCATACGCGTAGCCATGTGAGAGGATTTGAAGAGGGAGAGCGTACTCTCCCCACTCTTAGCCGTACCAGGGCAGAATAAACTGAACCTATGATCCTAGAACTATTGAGCGAATATGATACTTTTAAGCTATCTAATGTATAATTCACTTATCAAAGTATAGATTAATATGTATTCAGTTTTAAGCTACATTGTTTGTTAAAAAGAGGTGTAGATATATTACTATACTGTTTGAACCAAACCATTTGAAGGGTGAGTTTAAGTTCTCGACTTAATGATTAATCATTTTAACCATAAAGAGGTTCAATTAAAATCCTGTAGTCTAAATGTTTAGTAATAATAAAGTTCTTCCTTCATTGGCTTCTTATTGTGTATATGCAGCGATCATAAACAAATAAGAAACTTGGCTTGACTACTCTTCAGATTGAACATTTGATAAGCATTAAAGTTCCTAATGTACTTTCTAGTCGTAGATTTCATTTTTGATTGATTTGGCTTAAACATGTGTTAGGTATCAATTTAACCGTAACATACAATTTTAGCTGGAGTAAAAGTAAGTTGAAAGAAAACTAAGGCGGATCATATGGCATCAGTTTATGAAATTATCTACTGTTAGTATGCTTCATCTTGATAAGTCGAATCTATCTGGTTGTAGGGTATACAACTATTATTGCCAGTTGTTTGATATATTGTATGAAATGGCTTAGAATAAGTTACAATGGCACAAATATATATATACACTCATTATATTCCGCTAGATCTTATTATACTGTTTATATATAACCACACAAGTTATAGATCAAAGTCATGTAATTTACTTTGCCTTCTGTGATTTTAAGGTTTTACAGTGAGTGAAAGAATTTGTTCTCGTATGAAACAAGACCAATACATGACATTGATCACCACCCAGTGATCAATCAATTGTGATTACATCTCAGTCTTACAGGAGGTCGGTCGCGGCCTGAGTAGCTCAGTGGTAACGTCTCTGACTGTGAAGCTGAGTGACACGGGATTGAATCCGTCAGGAAGCACCAGTTCTCTAAAGATTACAGGTACACATTGCTGACAAGTACCAAGTAGCACGAAACCCGGGTCCAGGTTTTCTTGTTGACCATCTCCAACCACCATCTTATCTCAACATAGTGCACACAGTGTCGAGCCACCTAGACTAGTGGCCACATTGTAACTTGATCGATAGCATTCGATCAGCACTGAGAAGGACTTGACACGCATGACATTGATCACCACCCAGTGATCAATCAATTGTGACATTACTTAATTATTATCATCATTACTATTAGAGATAATCCTTAAAGTGCTTTATTTATTGACATGTTTCAATAAAATCTATCTTCAACCATACAGTAACCTATTTAACCTTAATGATTAAAGGAGGCATCATGTAGTATTCTTGTTAATGTAACTACCGCTGAGATATTATTGTATTTAATAAACATGTTTACTAATGATCTGTCAATAGAATAATAATAATAAAACGTAAACAGCATGATATTGATGAATGCTAGATGAGTATGTGAATATTTTGATTGTATCTCTGGAAAGCTTATTTCTAAATTCTATATTGTTATGATAGGAAGTAACCCTAGCTTTTGAATATAATAAGAAGGGTGCAATAGTTCTTGCTAAGATTATTGATACATCTTCATTGATTGTATGTGTTATTTAACCATGAAACTTAAATCTGACAGGGATCTTGTTCCTGGTCGCTTCTAACCATCTAGCATCAAACGCTTTATGAGAAAGAGTACGAGTGTAAATTTATGAAAGTACGGATTGTGTTTGGTATGTCAGTTTTATTACGTAATACTGTCAATAATAATGTGAATGACATTAGTATAGGGTTTTTTAGAGAATTTAGAATTTTCATAGTTTATAAATCACAAACTGATCTTAACTAGACCACCATTGAAACCTAGGAAGCATTTGACAGTTGTTTCTATACCCTAAGTATTAATAATGATCCTGCACTCACTATTGAATAGCTTCACGATGAAGCTCCTGGAGTTTTACTGAGACGCTCTGACCAACGGAGTTCAGCCATGTCGGGTATGACACAATTATCCATTTCAGGCAGTGAAAGATAGTCTTACAATGTCGAAAATCGATTGAAGTTAAGTATGTACCACAACAGATGCCGGTTCAGTGATCTAGAGGTTAAGTGTTTGCGCTCGAAATGAAATGTTGTGGCTCCGAACCTCCGTGGTCATGTCGTGGATGCAATTTTCTACACTAAGACGAGATAATAGCCCAGTGCTTCCCAATTTTCAATGATAGTCTAGTCGTCTTCAATCTCATCATCAACATCATTATGTTGGCTTACCATACTTTTCAATTTTTATTTTTTGGAGTGAGGAAATCTGTTTTTTAGTACTAATCTAGTTCTAATAATAACAATGATAATAATATTATTGCTAGTCATGCTTATATACTCGTATTTGAGCTATTATTTGTGTGCGGGTACTGTTAAGAGTATCTGGCTGATCAAGGAGAGATTAGTGGACTGGGGCCTAAATATTTTAACTAATGGTTGGAAGCCGAGTGATTTTATTCACGCTGACAAACCGTTCCATGATGACTCATTTTAGAAGTCTAATCCTGATATCAGTGTTGAATATACCATCAATGAATGGATATAAATGCACATTGTTACAATTTACAATATCGGCAAAAACAAAAGAAATCAACAATGAAGAAGCGAAGTCAAAATAAGTCAAATAAAAGTATATTGTCTGTGACAAAGCTGAATAGAACTCAACAGAATGAACAGTATTGATTAACTTCACCTAATATGTGTGGAAAGTGAACGCAGTATAGCCCTAACCAAAACGTACATCAGTTTGTAAAGTTATCGACTATTGAAATGAACTACATTGGGAGATGCAAACTTGTAAATATATCAGCATTGTTTGATTTATATACCTATAATAAGTCATCTATCAATTTTCTTTTCTTGTCTTATTGTTCTCTTTAGATGGACAAGCACCAACATTTGATGAATCAGAAGGACAAGCTGGTTGGATTGAAGGTCTAGCTATTTTAATTGCTGTATTTGTCGTTGTATTTGTTGTAGCATTGAATGATTGGCAAAAAGAACGACAATTTCGTGGTTTACAAAATAAAATTGAATCAGAGCATACATTTTTTGTTATACGTAAAGGTGATACTAAACAAATTCCTGTGAAAGAAATTGTTGTTGGTGATGTATGTCAAGTGAAATATGGTAAGTTGGTTATTTATCAGATTACGAAACTTTTCATTGTGTGGTTGTGGAGATTGTTGAGATCACGAATTGTTCCAAGTGAGACGACCATCAACTTGAGAACACAGGACAGCCGTTTCATCCTAGTATAGATCTTAGAAGTGCGGATCCATAGTCCCATAACCGAAAATCGACAATTACCATGTTGTCACTGGCTGCTGAGAAGCTCCATGCTAGGATGAATCGGCTTCCAGTGATCTCAGGCTTTTTATGACTGTCTAACGTAGATCGGCTTTTAATGTCAATATTAAGCTGTTCATGTACCACTAAATAAAGAACAATATGAATTGGAAACCGAGTAATTGATATGAACGACAGTGATTTAAGCAGTTATGTTCAATTTTCTTTACCCTTTACTCAAGATTGTTAGCACTAGTAGCCCTCATATTCAAGAAATGTAGCTCATAGTTGAATATATATGTAAAGAGAGAGGTTAATACGTGATAGACTAATCATCTTATTTAGACTCAACGTATTACTTGGAAGATCAAAGAGATTTATTATAGACTAAATAGTAAATGGATCAGCATTACTACCAAATTAATCACATTTGAAGAGAAAAGTGTTTGGTCACAAATTGTCCTCAACTAAATGAGTATTAGTAACCAAGATATATACTGGACACATTTGCTTGGTTGTCTGAGATTCGAAGGTAAACACAGGATGAGTGCTTAACTAACATGAGTCACAATTCACCATGCTATCGTTTCTTTTATACTAGTTGTTATTTATTGCAGTTCTGTCCATAAAATTCGCCAAACACTAATAACTAAACATTTTGATATTGGTTACTGCCCTACTATTGCGGACATCTATAAGTAGTTTGTAGTAGGAATTGGAAGTGGAATCCTTGCCATTATAAGATTGAAATGAAGAAAAGGGGAAAGAAAACAAAGAGAAATCGGGATAACAGCAGAACTGGAAGAATGATGGAGTATGTAAAGGACAACCGAAGGAAAATGTGTTCAAAGTATGATTTTCATAATTTACAAAGGCACTGTGTGATTTTGCATTTCTTCATTCACAACATTACTACTACTACTTCTGCTCAGTAGTCCATCAATGTTGTGATTCAAACATTATGATAGTACATGTCACACTGTTTATTGTTATTCATATGTATTCAGTAGTATGTATAACCTTACATTTAAATCATATTATGTAAGAAATTAACGTTTATTAGTTGCACAGTACGTGAAATAATCTAGGGCGGTGCCTCATGTGCACGTTGTTTATTCAATCTACGCATTTCTTCAATAGCTGCGACTTAACTATTCTTGTTTAATTAAGGTCAAATGTTGAAATTCCCGCCACAACCATTCCATTTATTATAAACTTACTCATAATAAACCAGGAAACAGCACAATTAGGTGTGGTTTGTCATCGATGACCATTTGTATGTATATATGCCTGTGTACATGTTTTATGAATTATTCCAGTGAATTAATTGGTTAGGTCAATTTAAATGATCGAAACTTACCAAACATAAGATTTCACAGCTTACCTAATCTTAGGTTTATTACCGATAAATGTAATGGTATAATCAAATACAATCTTTTCACGCCTTCTGAATCAGCTTCGCATGACCTGGCATGACCCATATACCCAATTAGATCAATCACAAACAAAATTTCAAAAAAGGTCAGCTTCTACATTACGAAGTAAAGGCCTGATAATGTTGTCCACCAGTTAACAATTGAAGTTTCTCTAGTTAAACAATACCTTTCAAATGATACTTGACAAAAATGTTTCCAAAACTAACTGTAGTTTTAAACCTCCTTTTACTTTAGTAAATTTGATCAATAGACAACTAATGAATGAGACAATTGATCGGCAAACATGATCATATTTCTTAGTGATAGTAATATTATTTACTGTTGATTTAGTTAATCTCATTGCTATCTGTCATTCGAATTTAATAATGTCTGTATCTTGTCTAAATACCTCAACTTCGGTTACGTGAAAGATTCCACATCTTCCAGAGTTTTTTCATCAAGTTTGATTGAGTTGGTGCTTAATGTGTTGTATTTGAGGATCGTGCTTTCTCTATTGTATACGTTGAAGCTTACTGGAGCAGAGGCTTCTGCTACACTAGCTGTCTTAACCTTCATTTGTTGATATGTATGGGATAGAAGGGATAGATCATCTATGAAGCTCAAATAGTCTAGTTACATCCAAGCCGTTCACCGAATTCCGTGCTTGCCATCAAATGTGGAAGTCTTCATAATGCAGTCAACCAACAGAAGAAAGAGAAAGGGCAAGGGTAGACAATTTTGTCTGTATCCAGTCCTTACTTAGAATGCATCTGTCAGCTGTCCTCCATGCACTTTTTGCACTGTAGTCCGTCGTATGAGTTCCAGATAATGTTGACAATCTCAGAAACTCTATAGTGTCGAAGAAGTTTCCATAACGATCTCCGGTTCACACTGTCAAACGCCTTCTCATAGTCAATGAAGTTGATGTATAGCGACGAATTCCACTCAACTGATCGTTCTACGATGATCCGTAGTGTCTCTGTTTGGTCTGTTCACGACCAATCCTTATGAAATTCAGCCTGTTGATCTCGAAGTTGGGCGTCTACTGCGTCTGTTATCCGATTCAGAAGCACTCTGTAGAAAACTTTTCCTGGTACTGACAACAAACTGATGCCTCTGTAATTCTCGCATTTGCTCAGATCTCCTTTCTTTGGTATCTTGATGAGGTATCCTTCTTTCCAGTCCGTCGGCACTTGTTCTTCCTCCGAAATCTTCCTGCATAGAAGGTGAAGCATGTTTACAGTTACTTCAATGTCTGACTTCAGTGCTTCAACTGGTATATTGTCAGGTCCTGCCGCTTTCCCTTTCTTGATTTGTCTGATAGCCCTTCTGATTTCTTCGATCGTTGGTGGAGTGACAGCTGTAGGAAGGTTTGTGTGTGCTGCTTCGATGTCCGTTGAGGTTAGTGGGGTTAGTCTATTCAACAGTTGCTCGAAGTATTCTACTCATGATGGTCTACAGTTAGAACGGTATATAAAGACGCTATAAATGTGTAAGCTGAACCATAAGAACAAAACAATGGTGAATGGTTGAATTGTCTCAAAATCACTGTGCATGAATCAAATGAACATGTCATCTACGGATGATGAAATGAGTGAAATAACAGAGATACTGCTGGCAGTTGATTGCATTACGAAAAATTATAACGTTTCTAAAAAAGGCAACTATGATATAGAGTTTCAGTTTAAATTATGGTATAAATGTAACGTTTGGTGTTTGGTTAGAATTAGTATACAGAATTTAGCGGTAGGGTTAGAATTTAAAGTTAGGACTAGAGTCTGAGGTTAAGGTTAGCTTTTAAAATAAGTTATAGTTGAAAGCGTGAGTCAATTGAAACTAGACCATCGAAAACCTGGAAACACTGGACGGCCGTTTCGTCCCATTATAGGACTCCTCAGCAGTGCGCATCCACGAACCCGCTCTCGCGAGATTCGAACCCAGGACCTACCAGTTTCGAGCCGAAGCCCTTAACCGATAGACCACTGAGCTGGCATCCAATGGTGTTAATGTCTAACTTCAACTGGTCCACGAAGTTGAGCAACCATTCACCAATTGTCTTCAGTGAGTTCCTATCTCACAACAGACGTGGTTTGGAACTCTACTAGTCTCCACAAAACCCCTTCTATAATTAATATAATCATATGCTCACTAGTGACTTCGAGAAGTATATCTAGGAGCTCTAGTGAGAAGCAGTGACCAGTGGAGTTTAAAATAAGTGTTAAGGTGTAGAGTTTAAGGCTAAGTATTTGATGTCACTCCTTCAATTATAAACTATAGATCCTAATACTGACTATGAAACCTAAACTGTACATTTTTATTATTAGCTTTAACTCTCAACTTCTCATCCTTAACCTAAGAACAAAGATTAATCCTAATTACAAATCAATCAATCCTTCTATTATCTTAATCTATTCACTTTATAATCCGTTGTTAACTTCTCATTTGTGCATATTATCTTTTATTGTTATTACTTACATTACGTAATCGAGTATTGTAATCTTTTATGTTACATCATCATATGTATTCTTTGTTTATATATTCTCATGGGATTATTACTTTTTTTTAAAAATTCCATATATATATGCATACCGTTGTATAGCTTGATAATAAATTCATTGAAAAAAGATCCCTTCTCTGAACCTTGTGTTTTCAGTGTTCAAATGGGAATTATATATATCGATTAAGTATAAGTAACGAAAACTTGTTAGTTATATTTCAATAATGGGCACACCTACGATTTGAGACTGGTTCTAGATTTCAGATCTTTTTGGCGTTACATGTTTAAAGAATACTCTTCTTGTTGTTTACAGTTCGATTGAGCTATGGTTTCATGTTTAAAAAAAATATACCCCCATACTTTGAAGCTAAACATTTTAACTTGATGATCAAACTGTATGATTTTGATGTAGGTTTATTCTCTGAGCTAGGTGATTTGGTCGTGGAGCTTTCATCGTCCTTCTGAACGACATCATCAGCACAAACTTCAGGTAGAAGTGAAGTATTTAAATTTCTCCACATGTGATTCACGGCTTGTCCTGTGCACCTCGATGTTGATTGGTTCTTATTGACCTTAGATGAAAGCTCCACGACCAAACCATCTAGCTCAGAGAATAAACCTACATCAAAATCACCCACCTGTGTTACAAATCTTCTCTACCATCTCAAACGGCATGTCCCTAATACTACTTATAAATACGTGGTTTACTGATTATTTGCTTAATCTTGATATAAAAATCTTGTAAAATAAGTTAATCTATCATTAAATAGTTTGCATAGTTTGAATAGTTTCATATATATGCGGGTGAATTCAAAGAATTCTCATTTCTCCCCATTTTTTCTACTATATTAAAAGGGTAAGAATAGGTGTTTATTATTTTTTTCTGGCCTCACTCCCCACACTCTCTTCTTAATGATAATATTCTAGTATCTGTGTGTGTGTGTGTGCAATGTACAAAAATATGCATAAATCATTGACTTTTATGGCGTCTTTCATGTCGATATTAAACAATCATCAATTTTTGGTTTGTAATCACGAGTCAAGCTAAACTGGATCACCATTAAAGACCTGAAAGCACTGAACGACCGTTTAATCTTTTAACGGGGCTATTTAACAGTCCACATAAATTAAGTCGCACACGGAACTCGAACCCAGAACCTTCGGTTTCGTGCGCGAACGCTTAACTCCTATACATATACATTAGATTGATGAAATAAAGCAGAATACAATTTTTTAGTCTATAGTTTATAGCTATTTCAATCAGTATTTCACTTTGTAAAGAAAGTCTTATTAACCAATTTTATCTGTCTATTTCTGGAATCTGTCTTGTTCTATTTATTGTTTTATTGTGCACAGAACATATATCTACCCTTTTCGTACCTTCTCTGTTTTACCGTATCGGTATGTAAGTGTGAGTCGTTAATATCGTCATATTTACGTTTTTGTATCGGCAGTCATCTTATGGTAATCGAACTGAACTACTGAATTGATTCATTAATCCAATCCATCACACCTTGTATATATGGCGAAATGTACACAATCATAGCTAAAGATCAGTCGGTTTTCTATAAGACTATCAAGAGCAAATATATAAAAAAACACAAGAAAAGTGCTAATTTGGCCCCCATAGAAATACGCACATACATAAATTAAGGTACCTATGTACATAAATGTGCCTAAGACCGATTGCACACGACTCTTCTACAAGACGTTTTCGGTGTGTAAGCGTCATACTTTTTAGGCCTTACTGTAGAAAACAGAAATCCGTCGACCAAAATGAAGTGTACCTATTCTAGGGTCAACCTTTTCTAACCATTTGCTTTTGTTGTGAAAATACAACATGAGTGGAGACACCAGTTGTTTGTAGGAAACATCTTACAGCTCTTACACCCTAGTAGCATCATCAATACGTACTATCGGTTTATTACCCCTAGTTTTACCGCACCAACTCAAATACTTTTTATTGTAGAACCTAAATAGAGCAAATATTTTAACCGATCTATTTCGATCGGTTTTTTACCATAATATCCTTACTTGATCACTACATATCAAGGTAAGAGTTACCGTAAGGAAGTGGCTACACTTTTTTCTATCTTATTCAATGAGATACCATTAATTTTAAATTTCTTTTTCAATACCTAAAAAAATTTCTTACTAGGTGATCTCCTACCAGCTGATGGTATAGTTATACAATGTAATGATTTGAAAATTGATGAAAGCTCTCTAACTGGTGAATCGGATCAAGTGAGAAAAAACGAAACAAAAGATCCTATCCTACTTTCAGGTAATTTCTAATGTATTAAACGTATTACGAGTTTTTCTTTCTTCTTTTAAATCCATTCTGAAAATTCTATTATCCCCCCCCCTCACATCCACACTCGCACACACATACTCAAACAAACAACGATACCATCTAATTGATGTCTTTCGAATTTGAACGAAATAAATGGAGACTGGTGAATGACAACAGTTTGTAGAATAAAATCAAGTCATCAGTTTATACTGCCCAAGGCTTCTTATCATCCGTTATTTGCAAAACTAGTATGAATTCGTGAATGATAATGCTGGTTAAAAGTAAATATTTGATAGGTACATTGTGCAATGAATCAAGTTAAGATAAACATTCAAAACAGAATGAAGAATTAGTCAAGCAGTATTTATTTATTTATTTATGTACATAAACATTGGTACAATGAGGCACCAAATATATCTACGTCAAACAAATCATTCGATTTGTGTGAGGACTTTGATATTTCCCAGGTGCCCATACTGGAGCAAATGGTTTCTTTATGGGGTCCACACCCCGTAACTTTAACCTAAATGTCTAGTCCATAAGTCAGTGGAGAAACGTTAAGAGATACAGTCCCGTAGTGGCCGGTGACCAACAACACGTTCATACCCCATCTGTTCCCTCAAGATCATGGATCCCATGTGCATTATTGGTTTGGAATCAGGAGTTTTCAACTCCCATAAGTATATTCTCCTCTACGACCAATCCGGTTTTAGCGTCGGACATTCAGGCCAAAAAAATGCATTTGCCAATTTAGAGCGAGAAACGTATATGTATATAGGCTAGTTATTAGTTAGTTAAGTGTGGGCTGATGAGTAGGACGATCACCTCGCACAAACAATTAGACAAATACAAATATGTGTAAAGTAAACATTAGGCTAAACAAATAGAGTACCAAAGGTTACATTTGAATTACAATAGATTTGGAATAGAAAGGGGTATGGCAGTGAATCACACATCAAACAAAAGCTTATGGTTAGTGGAATAAACTAGGAACAAAACTAAATGTATGTACTCCACCGCTCAAAGTTGTACATCAATAATCCCATACATCGGTTACGCAAAACACATAGAACTAATGGTTAACGCTGAAGCTTAGGATATTTACCACTAAGCCAGCGTACATGTAGTCCAACACGAAGCCAGGTGCATGCCAAGCAACAAACCCGTGAATGACAAGTCAATCCGAATCGCTTCAACAGTGTAAAAGGTTTGAAGTACGATTTATTATTTATTTATTTAAACACATAAATATTGGTAGAAAGGGGCAACAGATATATATGCGCCACACAAATCTCATAGGATTTGTGTGATTGCTGTGATACTGCCCAGGTGCCTAGACTGAAGCAGGTGGTTTTCTTAGAGGACCACACCCCGAGCCTTTGACCTAAAGGTCTGATCCATAAGGTAGTGGAGTATCGTGAGGAGATGCAGTCCCATGGTAGCCGGCGACCAACGATTGATTCATACGTCATTTGTTCCCTCAAGATTCTGGAGTCCATGTACACTATTGGTTTGGAATCAGGGTTTTCCAACTCCCCTAGGTAGACTTTCTGTGTTCACTAACCCGTTTAAAGCTCCTGCCGGACATTGGCTTTTCATCCTCTCAATTTTGTAAACAACAGTAATGCCACTGTGAGAATGCAGTGAGTAGGACTTCCCTGATAGAGGCTATATGCGCATGGTCATGTGAGATCATTTGGAGAGAGAGAGAGAGAGCGGTCTCTTCTCACCAGGGCATTTGGGGGCTTGAAATAGGAACAACAACTTTAATTTAAGTGAAATGACATTCCCGGAAATAGCTTCCGTTATTTATCATGGCTTCTTTATTTCTTTATTCGTATCACTTTATTATACAGAATAATTTGTTAAACAAACACTTTTTCTTTTCTTCTTCAATTCAATACACTTGAATTAATCTTTTTTTAATAATGGTCATGACCTGGTTTTACAAATAAATGATTAACTATAATTGATAAGAGGTTAGAGTTATTGACAAAGTGAAATGAATTTTGTAATAGAAACTTTTTTTTTAGTTCTATCATGATTTGTTTCACAGTTGAGCTCATTCCCACCCCCCTTTCTCTCTTTCGATTTCTACCGTCATTTGCGTGTACGTTTTTCACGGTTTTTTTTTCTTATTCAATGTATCCATGTGTGCACGTGTATGTGTATGTTTGTAATAAGGATTAAGAAAAAAATGCAAACCGATTGACAGACTACTTGACATTATTATTATTAGTTAGTAGTATTCGTATTAGTAGTAGTAGTGAAGTATTCGTCACGTATTAAATATTGACTTCTTTTTTATTCAATAATTATAGTTTAAGATATAAACGATTAAATGATGTATGGTGTTATTTCTGAGTATTCTTAGTGTTTGGTTGTGACAGTATACATCCATATCCCCACAGGGAATTGAATCCAAAATCTTCAAGATACATTGGGGGAGGGTGCGTTTAATCTTCGTATCATTGAGTTAGTTAACATCGTTTTCGATGATTGTCAATTCAAAGTCAGTTAATTTTATTGATGTCTAGAGAAAATTTTTCAGTAAGAATCCTATCTTTCTGCTCATGTGTTTTATTTCTTCTGTAGCCTAAAACCTTAAACTGATACCAGTCAAACGCTTTGACTATTATGATTAACTTTGAGTTGAGAATAAGATAATTTTAACTCCTATTGGTTTACCCAGCAGTTGCGGGAAATATTTCTAAGGCATCTGTGGTCAAATACTAGTAGCCTACGAATGTCCTCTACTCTTATCGGCCATGTTTCACTATCATAAAGTAGAACAGGGCGAACTGCTGAGCAGTATACTCGTCCCTTAATTGATAGACGGATATCTCGTCTTCGCTAAAGGTGACGTAAGTTGGCAAAAGCCAAACGAGATTTTTCAATCCGTGCTGAGATTTCGTCAGACACTAACCCATTAGGGCTGATCAGACTTTCAAGATAAGTGAAGTTGTCGACGTGTTCGACTAATTCACTCCTTATCCTTAGTTCAGGTGTTGACACAGGCCGGTCCTGGAGTAACAATTTACATTTACATTCATAAGCTTACAATAAAGAGGATATCGAAATATAATAGCCCAGTCATTCAATAAACATACAAGCAGTTATAATCCGAAAAAAACATTTTAAAAGTTCCTGATTCTCTATATTTCTCTACCATTATAACAGAAACTTTATAATTAACTATAATTGTCTTATATCCCTATCCATTTGATGAAATTCTACATATGGTATTAGGTATATGATTATGAATAGTTTAATTGGATTAGGACAACACAATTGTGCAATTTTCACATATCAATTAAAAATTAGATGAAATTAATTATTTAGCATAACTAGGATAATTTGGATAATTTGGATCTGTCAATTATAATTGACAGATTAGAAGTTTGTCAATCAAAGTTTATACTATGAGCAAAGATGGATGGAAGCTAGCGGTGGAATCCAGTTTGATGCGCGTTTCGTCCTATTCGGGTTTCGTCAGCTGGATGTACGTGCATCTCAGAGTTGATGTTCATTCTCGGACTCGAACTCAGTACCATTCGCTATTCAGTCCTGATAGCCACATGCTTGTACTATGAGGTGAAGTTTAAATTCATTTAGTATTGTTTAACTGAATCTTCCCATTAATGTTTAGGACTGTAATTGATCAGTTTCTTATTAGCGAAACGCGCGTTCGGGATTTCACTACTAGCCACTATCCATCTTTGCTTATGATGCTTGTGAATTAAGGCTATATCGAGGCAATACGCATAGTATCCAGAGACTGATCAATCGCAGTCCTAAACATCAATGGAAAGATTCAAACAAACAACATCAAGTGGATTCGAAGTTTACACCTCGGGGAGTTGGAAATTTATTAATTTATTTAAAAACATAAATATTGGTACAAGGAAGCACCAGATAATTATGCGCCGCACAAATCTCATTCGATTTGTGTGAGGGCTGTGATACTGCCCAGGTGCCCAGACTGAAGCAGGTGGTTTTCTTAGGGGGCCACACCCGGAGCCTTTGACCTAAAGGTCTAACCCACAAGGCAGTGGAGATGCAGTCCCATGGTAGCCGGTGACCAAAGATTGATTGATACGCCATTTGTTCCTTCAGGATCCTGGAGCCCATGTGCACCATTGGTTTGGAATCATGGTTTTCCAACTCCTCTAGGTGGATCCTCCATATCCACCAACCGGGTAAAGCGCTGAGTAATCTCATATTAAGTCCAGTGCTTCCAGGTTTTCCATAGTGGTCTAGCTTCAATTGACTCATGTTCTTAACTATATAAAATTACTAAAATCTCCACAAAACCCACTTGTGATAACAGTTATAGATTTTTAGTTTCGAATGTGTATGCTCTGATTTATTCATATATCCAACAGAACGAACCAATACAACTGAGTTTATCCCATAAGCTTTTCATATTTACTTATTGAAGTGTAATTTTCATAAAGGATTTTATTTCACTTCCTCTTTGATCTTTCCTCTTTTTTAATAAATAAACATATTTGTTTTTCTTTCCTACAGGCACTCATGTTATGGAAGGTTCCGGTAAAATGGTTGTCACTGCCGTTGGACCAAATTCACAAGCTGGTATAATATTTGCTTTGCTATCTTCTGGTTCTCATGATGAACATGGAGGCGGTGGTCAAGAGAAGAAGAAAGAGAAAGGTGAGTCATTTGTTACTTTTTTGTAATCATTAGCATAGAGTACTTGTTATTGTTGTTATTCTTACTTACTTACTCCAGTTACCCCTCATGGAGGACTATAGGTCGCCCACCAGCACTCTCCATTCAACTCTGTCCTGGGCCAATGATTTCCAGTTTTTTCCAATCTCTATTCATCCTTTCGATGTCCACTTCCAATTCTCCACGTAGTGTGTTCTTTGGCCTTCCACTCTTCCGTTTACCTTGAAATTTCAAGTTAGAGCTCGTCTCGCGAAGCAGTTTGATGATTTTCCTTATGTATGTTCTATCCACTACTAATGTCTTTTCCTGATTTCCTCTTGATCTGGAAGTTTGTTTGTTCTCTCCCACAGTAGGCTGTTGCTGATGATATCCGGTCAACGGACATTGAGTATCTTGTGTATCGATGAAGCTCATATTCCTTCTATCAATCCCTGCACATTTTTCTCATTGTTCACATTACTTCTTTCTCACCAGTTTGCACATGATCTTCTTCACTATCTTAATCCTTTGCAGTTATATTAGACGATTAAAATGGATCAGGCTGAGCAGGAGGGGTCTTGTAAACACCGTCCAAGATAAATTCGTGACAATAAGTGTCTAGTTGAACTATATGACTGAGATATATCAATGGGGGCACTTTTTGATGTGATGTTACAAATTCAACTAGAAATATACGTGCGGATCAGGGAAAGTTGGTTGTGTGACTGTTTTTGGCGACCTTTTCTCATTTTACTGTTCATGTATCAGTCAATGAATTATAAGCAGCTTAGAACCTAGCAAATATGTGCATCGGTTCAAGTTTCCACATCGCATCAACACAGAGGGATGAAATTATTGCGGTAATTAAACCACCTTACCAGTTGTTGCTACATTTAAGTTTGGACGTTTCTAGCCTTCTTGCAACTTACTTCTACATCTCAAACAGCACGCTTCAAGGTAGGCGATGCTTGAGTACATCTAGTATTGATTCTAATCATTTCAATTGATAACGACTCACCAGCCCATAAACCGACTTGCCATCTTTAATTAGTACTTGTGTCTTCCTTCACTCGGTACTCTCAAAATACGCTGCCAAGGCATCGAAGACATCCATGATCAAACGCAAGTAACCTATGAATATTCTCTATTTCATATCACTGAAGGATATTAGAACAAATTGTTGTGTAGTGCATATTAACAATATGTATTATTACAGTTAATCTTTATTACAAATTATTATTTACTGAAGAACTAGGAATCAGTGCACAATTGTTTCACTCTATTTATTTCAGACCACTTATCAGTATTCACTTAATTATTCCAGTAGAGAATGAGATTGAACACAAGATCTTCAAATTCCATTGCAAGTTCCGATTATCATCTGGTTGAAATCGAATTTACAATGTGCTAACGAGGTATGGCAACTTGGACCGATGCATAAATGTGCCTGGTTCTACGTTTTCGCTGACTGACTGACTGAATTTACAATGGATTACTTCAGTCATCATTTTTTGTCTGATGTATGACCATATTTGTTAAAGCTAAGCTTTTTTATTAGTACATTGTTTTGATTATCACTTCTTTTTAAAGCCTTGTAGAGAATATTCACTAGAGTAAAATTACATGATCACCTGTATTTTTCATTTAGGCAAAACTAAAAAGAATGGTAAAAAAGGGAACAAGAACTCTGACAAGGTACCATCTGCTAATTCCGATGCTTATCAAATGAAATCAAAGAATAAAACAAAATCTGAATCTGATGCAGAGCAAAGTTCGAAACCGAAGAAAAAACCACGTCGTAAAGAACAATCTGTGTTACAAGCAAAATTAACTAAATTAGCTATACAAATCGGTTATGTTGGTAAGTCACTGTTTATTTGTTTTATTATTACTTTATATATCTTAACACACAAACATTAGCACATTAAGCACCAATATATATATATATATATATATATATATATATATATATAAACCACACAAATCACCGAATTTATGTATAGACTGTGATATTCCCTGGGTCCACAAAAAGGAACAGATGGTTTAGTTGAGGGACTGCTTTCCGAACCTTTGATACAGAGGTCTAATCCACAAGGCTTATGGATTAGACTTTCTGGCGATAGACCACGGGTTTGGCCTCTTAATAAAAACATACGCTTCTGATTGAGCCTCCGGACAGTATTCCAACCCTCACACAAACCAAATGATGTTTTGTTAAGTTGGCTTACAGTAAACTCTATCAGAGCCTCCAGATGCTCATAAAGAGCCCCAACCAATCAGCGATTAGTCAGAAGCTATGTTACTAAAATAACGAGATCCTGATTGGCTGTTTAACATACTGCTTCTATCGAAACTCAAGGTCTCTTAATTACTATAAAACCCCTGTATTTTCTGTACATAAATGAACCTTGTAGTAATGTACTTCTCTCATACTCGTGTCTTCTTACTGGTGTTCAAGTCGCTGAGTAGTGTTAGCCCTGGGGTTATCAAAATAGCTTAGGATCTGAATATAGCGTTCAACCAACGAGATATAACATGTTTACTACTTGAAAAATTATTCTAGCTTCAACTCACATTCTGACAAATCCCACTCACTATCATTTGATAACATTCGTTCTTATTTCTTTAATATTACGTCACTTATGTATCCCCCTTTATTGTCATTTTACGTACTTTATTTTTCAACTTATACAGCAGCTCGCTTATGGTAGAAATCCCTGTTCTATCTGACTGGTTGGAAGTCGAATGCTACCATCGACCACGAGTACTGAAACTGTATTCCTGAAACCACGTATACCATTCAAACTGACCTTCTTCAACATTCGCACACTAATGCAGATCGGACAACAGATAGGGTTAGCTATATCTTTAGAAAGTCTTAGTATCAATGTCTGTTGTCTATCCGAAACCCGTATTCAAGACTCTGATGAAATACTACAAATTCGCTCTCCATCTGTCGCTTCGGAAAGCTTGTTCCATATGCGTTCATCTGAGGACCCTGTGGCTTTTATGGTTTTGCCAACATTGGTGTCGCACTTAGCTGTAGAGCTGGGGCAGTACCGACCGATTGGATCCCCATTAACAGTCAGTTATGTGCTGTTACATTAGATAGTTCCTCCAAAGTGCGAAGAAATCGGTGTGAGAAACTTTGTTTTTTCGTCATCTTCACCTACGTTCCGGCAGACTGCAGCTCGGATGCTATTAGAGATAAGTTCTACCACCATTTAACTGTTCTCCAGAAAGCGCGTTCGTCAGATATTGTGGTACTAGCCGGAGACTTGAATACTCAGGTCACGCGTCTATGTACAGAATAGAGTCGTTTAGGTGGCCGGTAGGGACTTGTTAGTCTCAGGTCAGATAACAGTGACCGTCTTCTACAACTGTACTTAGACTACAACCTGTTTCTGGTTAGCATGGATCGATGTCGGCAAATTGGTTGCAACTTCTGTTGCAAGTAATTATCTAACCGAGCTAGCTTCTAGACTAGCTACCATCCCACCAAAAAGTAGATGAGCATTGGTTGCGAAACAGCTCTGATGGATGTAAGTAGTGGCGGTGGAGATCTGTTGCATGGAGAAAGGCTCGTCGACCTTGTGTATGCGGATGATGACGTCTTAGTGTGGTCTGAGACAATTCCACGTCATGCATTATTTACCGACTCTGGGACTAGTTGGGGAAAGCGGAGATATGGTCAGTGTATGAGATGGTGTTGTGTTATGAAATAAAGCTGTATAAGATCGGCTTCTGTTGGACCTTCACGACTCCCTAGTTGGGATCGTAGATTTGGTGGAATACAGTAGCTTCAGACGTTATCAGACATGGTTGAGAAAAGAAGTTAGTGGTGTTCCTGCTGTAACTTTCTTTTACTTTCTCCATAAAAAACTGATTTGACTTCTTCATAACAACATATATAAGCGAACAATATTGGTTTTGATTAAATCGTCATTAGGCTTTACTCTAATATACAGTTATAAATTGTTGTTATTTACTTCACTGAATGACTTTTAAATATGAAACTAACCTACAAGTAAAGATGCATGGTGGCTAGCATTGGAATCCAAGATTAGGGTTTCGTCCTGTTTTGGACTCGTCAACTGAATGTACCTGCCAATATTAAGCTAATCAATTCCAGTCCTAAACACCAATTGTATAATTCAAACAAAATGAATTTGAAACTAACCTAGTTATAACTTACCATCATTTACCGTGTAATTTATCTATCTAGATTCTATGTTAACTTCACTTATATAAAGGATGTCGATTTCGTTACTAAATCCAGTGACATAATCATCCAAAAAGAAAAAAAAAGAAAAAGGATTTCATTGTCATTTTTCATATTTTCAAAAATGTTACTTAATAACTTGTACAAGTAATAGATGTGAATATCAGCTAAGTGACTATTATCTATCTTTTTTATTGAATATTGAAATCATTGTAGGCGGTTAGATTGTTATGGCGGGTTAATTCATTATTCCTTATATGTTGTACAGCCTGGTGACGAGTAAGGAGAGAGACACAGAGAGAGAGAAAGGTTACACATTAGAATTTCATCAATTTTTTTTTCATTGTATCAAATAATGATGACAGTAGTAATGTATGAAAATGTTACAAGTGTCCCAATGTTTTGGACTACACGAATGATGATGATGATGATGATAATTATATGTCTGGTAAAACATCTTAAATTCTGTATATTGATAGTTAAGTTTTGTGTGTAGAACGGTAGAAATGAAGAGTTATGATGAAAAAAAGAGCAATTGTGAGAATAAAAGTTGGGTAATGGTAAAGTGTTTGACTTCTAGTCACTGAGTCGCATGTTCAAACTATCTACTATTTAGTTCGATTTAGGTAACTAAATAGCACTATTAACATCCACATTTAGAATATGATACGAAGACAGGTATACGAATTTATACTCGGTGAGTAAAATAACAGTTTGATACTCACTCAGTTTATAGTTAATGTGCCCTTGTACGGCCGAGAGTAGGGAGAATCTGCTCTCCCTCTCGAAATGCTCTCATATGGCCACACGAATATATAGCCTCTGCCAGGGAAGTCCTACTCACTGCCTTTTCACAGTGTCGTTACTGTTGTTTACGAAATTGAGAGGACGAAAAGTGAATGTCCAGCGCTTTAACCGGGTTGGTGGATGTGGAGGATCCACCTAGGGGAGTTGGAAAACCATGATTCCAAACCAATGGTGCACCTAGGCTCCAGGATCCTGAAGGAACGACTGACGTATGAACTAACTGTTGGTCACCGGCTACCATGGGACTGCATCTCCTTACGATGCTCCACTGCCTTGTGGGTTAGACCTTTAGGTCAAAGGCTCCGGGTGTGGCCCCCTAAGAAAACCACCTGCTTCAGTCTGGGCACCTGGGCAGTATCACAGCTCTCACGCAAATCCAATGAGATTTGTGTGGCCTATATATATCTGGTGCTTCCTTTGTACCAATATTTATGTGTTTAAACAAATAAGTAAAATAGTTAATGTAGTCCATTCTCACCAGAGACTGAATTATGTAAATGAATACTGCAATAATTTTATCATATGAGTCGTTTTCTGGTCCTTGGTCAATTATGACCCTCCAACGTCTACAGCTATTTTAATCAGTAGCGCACCTACTAACTGCGCCTATCTGGTTGACTGAAATAGGACAACTAGTTTCAAAGACAGAGACTCTTTCTATTTGAGCAAATCAGATCCGTGTGTTATTTACTTTATATATTGAGAGTTTGAACTCAAATATGGCATTAAAAGTGATTACTATCAGTCCAGATATTTGTAGTGAATCAAAAGGAACTTTTACAGCACTATAATTAACGTCCATATCATCGTTTGTGTTATTTCCTTATAACGTGCTAATTATCACGTGATAAGATCGCCAATTAAAACACCGACTTATTGACTAGACCGATCACATATAAACCAATATGAACAGCCTAGATTAAACTCTGATTTTTTATTGAACTCACGAGATAGTAATTTCTCGCCTAATTTGGCTGGTTCAGTGCAGAACTCAAATATCAGTCTTCGCTGTATGAATCCTGTATTTCAGGCATACACAGTACAGTACATACAGAAGAATAGGGTAGTTATAAGTTTATCTATTTGATCTAGATATTGTGTAGGCTTCTAGAAACATACTAAAATTAGTAATAACCTCGTTAGTTTTCCATTCGTGATCTGTCGTTTTGTGGAATATTGTCGACATTTGACCAAGAACTCAGATTTAACAATAAGTTTTCATCACTTTTCTGACTTCTGAAGACTTTCTTATGGAGTTATCTTGGGCTCCTAACATTTACCAATAAGCCATTCGGTGTTCTCAATAAAAGTTCAAAAAACTTTTCATTCTACTTCCGACTCATCAAGTACTCATCCTAATGTTGACCCTCTTATTGGAACCTCATTGCCCGCTGTACTGCTGAATCCAGATGGCCACAGACTTTCTCGACGGACTCCATGTGTATATCATTACTTATAAGTGTTTGAATGTTTGTTATTAAATTTTCATCGGACTTCATCTTCATCTATGGATCCTGTCCTATTTTTGAGGTGAACATAAACATTTGGACTCGGTTGATGAGTCATAAGTGGAACGAAACTCGTATCCTTCATTTCACTGCTTATTGAAACCCATTTATTTAACAATAAATGATCACTTTTCAGCTAAGATTGGTCAGAATTCAGTTCTTAATATCTGTAAGGACGGCTCGTTGGTAAATTCTAGGAAGCCTTAAGAAGCCCAGAAAGAGCCGGACATATTCCATCCAATCACTGCTAGGGAAATATTCTAGAATGTCGACGTGTAGCTTCCCCATTGGATGGATAAGAATGACCCCTATGTGCCTATTGGTTGACCGAAATGATGATTTACATTCAGCCAATAACTATAAATACATGAGATTTCTGTACTATATTTTGACACTGTTTAGGGGGAATAAAAGTTCCTACTTACTAGTCTTCTGTTTTCTAACTTGCGACGTTGAGGGTTCTATAGTTCAAGTAGTCTAGTAGTTTGCGGCATAATAAGAACCAAAGCTCTAGATATAAGAATATCAATAATAGATTCATATAAATCTTCGAAAAATAATGATGTAAGAAATCAAACTCTTTCTTATTATATACCATTTTGGCATCGTTTTCTAATCGACATTGTCATTAAATAAACTGAAGAAAACAATGTAACATATTCAATAACTTGTCCAACTTATACAAGAATAGGTGAAGGGGAAATATAAATCACTTTTCATAGAAAAAAGAAAGAAAGAAAGAGATGGATTGAAAGTAAAGTTGGGGTAAAAAAAATGCCAGTTAAAAGCATTATCACCCCCTCTCTCCGCTTTGTTTCTCTTTCTGTTTTGTTTCCCTATTCTTTCTTTCAAACAGCAACTAAATCAAATTAGTTATTTGACACTATCAATCATCTTTTGTTAGCTTGTCTTTTAATTAACTCAATCTATGTATACGTATAAAGAGACGAATGCTAATAATTCAGGGTAACTCTTGACATTCATTACTACATTTTACTACTGAATATAAGAGACTACTGAAATAGAATTAAATAAATAAAGCAATTTAACTACAATTGATTGATCACTGATTTGTGATCAATGTCATGTGTGTTATGGGCTTCTTAGTGTTGACCGAATGCTATCGATCAAGTCGCAATGTGGCCACTAGTCTAGGTGACTCGACACTGCGTGCACCATTATGAGATAAGATGGTGGTTGGAGGTGGTCAACAGGAAACTGTGGACCCGGGTTTCGTGCTACTTAGCACTCGTCAGTAAGGTGCACTTGTAATCTTGAGGGAACTGGTGCTTTCTGACGGATTCAATCCCGTGTCACTCACCTTCACAGTCAGAGACGTTACCACTGAGCTATTCAGACCGCGACCGATCTTTAGTAGGACTGAGATGTAATCACAATTGATTGATTACTGGGTGGTGATCAATGTCAAGCAGTTTAACTAGTTATTATGCAAATAGTAGATTACACATTTCTGAAATTTTGTTGAATTTGACATGTATACAATAATAAAAATTTTTAGTCATTTATACAAGTTGGTGTTTAGATAGCTGATACTTCTAAAAATCAGCGTCTTTACTACCACTACTACAAGTAGTAATATTTCCTTAAGCGTGTTACTCATGTCGGCGGATAGGCCACCCACCAACATTATCCATCCATCTTTGTCCTGGATCAATCCTTTCCTAGTTTTTTTCCAGTTGCTATTCATCCTATTGTTGTTTACTACCTATTCCCGATGTAGTATGTAATACTAGTGATATATTTGTTAGATGTTCTGGATTATAATTTGTGTCATTATTTCCTACTAATCATCCATTCAGATGTCATCGGTGTACATGTTCATCATTCGATGTTTTAGACTATCTTGTTGGGGCTAGCGCCATCAATGGTTAGGTAGATACGTTGGAAAACATGGCTCAGAATCAGCCATATTGGTATATATGCAGTCACTATCTTCCGTTTTTCAGTAGAAAAGATTGCAGTCGAAAGTACCCCACTTCCTCTGTCCTTAAAGATCTTCATCTATAGGCTTAAAATAAAGAATTGGTTCGGATAACCATTTTATTATTTAGTGCAAAATTACAGAATATCTTCTTAAATTATGAAAACCATACAATAAATACTTCATTTGCACATCTTACATCAGTTTCCCTTTATATCGTTCATGATTCTGTCGACTCTCAATTCCTTTATGTTCCTCTTTCTGTTTTCTTCAGTTCAATTTTCTCAACTTTTTGTTAACAGACATTCCACTTTTGACCGGTATTACAACCCACTTATATCTGTTAACGTAAGTGGCAAACATACTCGTCCCCCTCCTTCAATAAGCTGTTCTTGCAGTCGGTCCGATTGCCTAAAATACATTTAGTATCTCTATTTGATCACTTCTTTTGTCTTTTTTTTCATCCCATTTTTTTTCTAGGTACATGTGTTGCAATAGCTACTGTTCTAATATTAATCATAAAATTTTCAGTACATACATTTGCACAAAATAAAGAACCATGGCAAACTGGAAAACATTTAAAACAAATAGTCAATTATATTATTACTGGTGTAACAGTATTAGTTGTTGCTGTTCCAGAAGGTTTACCACTTGCTGTCACTTTATCATTAGCGTATTCAGTGAAACGTATGATGAAAGTAAGTCTTTCTATCTATTCATGACTGATATTGCCGTTGTTGTCGTTGACTCATCCTCCTTTCATTTTTTTTCTCTTGTTATGAAGTAACTTTTCGACAATTCCTCAGTGTTTCAAATGAAGATGGTCTTTTACCATGAATTGGTTTCGGTCAGATAATTATTTAAAAAACCCAGAAATTATTTAATAGCTGTTTCTTTCTGATATTAAGACATTTTAGTAGTTGTACACTTTCATGATCCCAGTAAGTAATCAAACATATGATCTTTAAATAAACATGATACCTGTAGGCTAGTGAGTCATTATTTAGTTATTATCAGAGGGGGTTTCGTGGAGATTTGGTATTTTCATAGTTGAAAACGTGAGTCAATTGAAGCTAGACTACCATGGAAAACCTGGAAGCACTGGACGGCCGTTTCGTCTGATTATGGGACTCCTCAACAGTGCGCATCCACGATCCCGCACTCACGAGATTCAAACCCAGGACCTATCAGTCTCGCGCACGAACGCTTAACCTCTAGATCACTGAGCTGGCCGGCATCCGACGGTGTTCCCACAATAGAACGAAACGGCCGTCCAGTGCTTCCAGGTTTTCCATGGTGGTCTAGCTTCAATTGACTCACGCTTTCAATCATTATTTAGTTGTTTATAGATTCAGATTCAAACATTTACCAGTCTAGCACATCTATTATAGAACGGATCTGATGTTGACTGTTCCAATTCCTCCATGATTGAATGTAACTGGTATCGAGTTGTCTAGTTACTTAGTTCCGATTTAATTATTCTTGTAAGGCTTTCTTTCGCTATGCTTTATATTATTCTTACTGTTATAATATGAATTCATATTTCTTCAACATTAGTATAACTAGCCGTCACTCATATTCGACAATGTTTATCTATTTCAATTAATAATTGTTCAACTGTTTGATGAGACTGTATTCCTACATATTTGCACTATTTTACGACAACTGTTGTTTGTGTCTATATATGTGTGTGTGTGTGTGGGCGAGGAGTGTTTGTAACTTGATAAGATTTCAATCATGTAATTGTCAAATTACTTCGTTCAACTATTGATTGTTCAATCAATTTTGGTCCAAACTACTTTACAATGTGATAATTCATTGGTGAATATCCTATTTAAAAATTTATATCAGCTGTTTAACCCCCAACTGATTTAATATAATCTCAGAAAGGTAGATAAGTACATTTTCTTCTTGAAAAGTGTTTATACTACTAACTAGTAGACATACATCTATTTTGTGATAATGACGTAGATTTTTATTGACTATAACTTTTGTTTGACTGAGCCATGTTGGTAGGTTTAGACTACCTGGTTGGGATTCGCGAGATGATAGCAATCGATGGTTAAAGACCTTAAATGACATGGCTCAAATCGTTTGTAATGGTGAAGGTGCATCCACTCTTTGTGTTCTACCAAATTCTAATCTTCTGAATTCTTAATGTCCCTATCCTTTTTTCTCTTTTCAAATTTATTTCACCGTATTATACTCCTTGAATGACATCTTCAAACCCTAATCTTTTCGACTACTGCTTATACTCTTACTACTTCTACCAATATGGGATTTGAATGGAGAACTGCATCTCTGTGTTTTTGTGGTATGGCAACTCGAACTGATGTACGTACGAACGAAGTTCTACTTTATGACTGACTGACTTTTGTCTACCCGGAAGTGTATGATTATGTTTCAATGCTGCTCGATAAACTTCATGTCACACTAGTTAACATGGTACGACAAAAAATGAATAAACCACGAACGCTGGTACTACTCGATGCAATAAATACATGAACTGAGCCACCAAAGTTGTTAGTTTTAGAATAAAGTTGTTCTTCTGTGTTCATGAAAGCCTAGAAGAACGTATGTTTATATCTCTTGCTTTTACTGATTGTTTATTCACTGTCTTGATGATTCCTGATTTTTGGAGGTCATTACAATGAAAATTTAACGACTAAACATAGTTGTCTTCACGACACAGCTGAGGAATATGTTAACATTAACACCTTCATCGCTTATACTAGTTGGTATACACACTTTATACTGTTGTTATTATCATAGAATAATCCTTTTGATGCCTGTGTCATCGTCAAACACGCCAACAAGTTATAAAGCCGGAGACAGTTAATAATATAAGGGAAACTTTATATAACTTCATTATAAGGTGAATAGGTTTTCGTATAGAATGGACAGAATGTATCCGCCATTGGGATCTATAACTCACGTTTCATCATATTCTGGACTCATCAGACGGATATAATCTGAGTACTAAAATTAATATCCACTCTGGTATTTGAATCTACTACATTTAGCTTCAAACATTGACGTGTTTGTAACGGTTTGGATCATGCTGTCGTCGATATTTTAACTAAATTTCTAACCAGTCAATGAGTCCCAAACAGGATCAAACGCGTGTCCTATATTCCACTCCTAGCTACATTTTATTCATTTTATACAAACTTGTAATATAATCACTCCATCGAAGCAATCCACACAGAATGCATATGTACAAACTGAAATTAACTAAAAATTCAGTTCTAAAAGTCCACAACGGAATAACCCAAACAATAAAAAATTAAATTGTAATTAAATTTTTGTTATCTTATCACAATCTACTCAACCACGTCGTTCATGTTGTTTCTGTAACAACTATCGGAGACAAGTCTCCGTCCGATCGCTTCCAAACTACTGGTTTCCGTCATCCTTCGTAAATTGTTCACAATTTGCGAAAGATTGACTCTCGTGGAGCAGGCTGGTTTTTGTTCTGGACGAGGATGTATTGATCATATCATCACCCTCCGCTATTTTCTTGTTTGTTACATGCAAGTGTTTCTTCGCGAAACCTTGTAGATAACTTCTTTAAGTGGAAGAATTCTTTCCGGTTGTACATTTGTTAACTGTGCTCCCTCTACCATTATTATTATTTCCCTTTGATACATTAATTTCTGATCATTGTTGTTTTTCATTTACTTATACGTACTTTACATTCTCTATCGTTTCACTGCTTGATTGTTATTGTATTGTGCATATTTATGAAAAGTAAACATTCTTTTCTCTTACATGACGAATAGTTGTTATCAACTTACTATTGCCTCGGTAGATCCAAATTTTTTGGCTTATTATCTTATTAGTAGTGGAAGGTTATCTTTAATACATCCGTGAATGGAAGTCCGGCTTGAGAAAATAATACGGAGTTTAGCTGAATAGAACCTTTTATTCAAAGATTTTGAAATTGGTTGATTAGAGATTTCAACAGTGGTATCTCCTTTAAATTCGATACGATTGTTAAAATCTTGAATAAATGGCTCTCAAAATCCCTGAATAAAACGTTCTATTTAGCTAAGCTCCGTATTGTTTTCTCAAGCCGGTCTGTCATCCACAGATATGTTAAGGATGAACTTCTGCTTTGGGTCACACCAATGTGCGTCTATAAATTTGCTTGATCCTGTGGGGCAGGTTACAGTAGCCGCACAAAGCGATCACTCTCTAAACGCATCTCAGAACACTACTCAGGATGGCTTTTAAAAAAATTGAAAGTTTAATCTAGGTGTAACTGATTCAAACCCTAACTCTGTGTGCATTTTTTATTGTTGACATTTGTGTATTTCGTTTTTTCTTCATATCCGTCAAGTGGACAACTATTTTTCATAATTTTGTCCCGTAAATTATTTTTATTCTCTGACCCTCTGATTATTGCGTAACGTCATTTGATTATAAGAGTCTCGAATTCCTTTTTCTAATACAATCCTTTTTCATCATTCTACTGACATATTTACCATACCCAAATGCCCTGATATGGCCGAGAGTGGGGAGTGCCCACCATCTCTCTCCAAATGCTCTCACACGGTCACGCGTATATAGCCTCTGCCAGGGAAGTCCTACTTACTGCATTCTTGCCACAAGGGTGTTGTTTATGAAATTGAGAAAACGAAACACGAATATCCGGCGCTTTAACCAGGTTGATGGACATTCAGGGTCCACCTAAGGGAGTTAAAAAACCTTCATTCCAAACCAATGATGTGCACATGAGCTCCAGTATCCTGAGGGAACAAGTGGCGTATGAATCAATCGTCGGTCACTAGCTAATAAGAGATTGATCAGTTGCAGTTTCAAACATCAATACTAAGGCTCAAGCAATCAATACAAAAATGAATAATAATGTCACTTGAATCCTTTTGGTCCTTAAAACGTTGACAAATATTGATTTTTAAAATGAACTTTTTTTCGAAATTGTCTTCATCCATAGACTGATGACCTTAAGGTGTTAGTATCAATAATCTAGAAATGAGAAATAGATGTCTAGTAACTATTTGGTTTTTGGGTTTTTCCTCAGGTGAAATCGATTCATAAAAAATAATTAGGGAAATAAATAACTCTCTCTCTCTCTCACCACAATCCGACCACTTTGAGCATAAAACAATAACAAAAGATGATTGCTTCGCAGTATTGCGAATTGTAACTGAAGTCAGTAATGTAAACTATTAGATAATAATTCAACAGTCTGCAGATAAAGCTGTCGTCGAGAGACATATAAGTCCTTGGTTCCATTCATGACTGAGTCATATATGTACAACACTGAAGAATCATGCATTAGGACGAAACAAGTCCTTCCTGGCTTTCACTTTTTTTGTCTATTTTCTGTTAGTACTACTTACTTACTTACTTACGTACTTCTTTTAATTCTGTTGTTATTCTGATTGCTCTCAGTTTCCCTTCCTGTTCACTTGATTTCAGTCTTCTGCTAGCAAGCATTCCATTTCCAGTTCCTGCTACATACTACTTATATCTATCCACATAAGAGGCTTTTACCACGTATTCATTGACTTTGAATAATCAATTGTATTGAAAACGTGAAAGTACCAGATAGCTGTTTCGTCTTAGTAATCTCTCTTACTCTTGTGACCCCTCGTGGAGGACTATAGGCCGCACACCAGCATTCTCCATCCAACACTGTCCTGGAAAATCCTTTCCAATTCCTTCTAGTTAA